TGAAAACACTCCTCACCTGCAGAGGACCACCCACTGCACACACCTGTTCAGTTACTGTAGCTGGAGATCAGGTGTGTCAGCTTCACAGCAAACAGAGGAACAATGAAGCCCCTCCCTTGTTCACCTGTTCAGGTGTGTGTGAGATAGTCAGAGCAGTCAGACGGGTTTGATCTGATTTTAATCACCAGGAGGCTTAACTGCCTGCAGGTCAGATCTGTGATTGGACGGAAACCCTGGAGCTATAAATAGCTTACAAACCTCCAAACGAACGTCACAGGAGGTCAGACCAACATGTGTGTGTGTGTGTGTGTGTGAGAGTCATGAATGTCCGATCAAACAAACTTATTTATTGATCTTTATTTAACTAAATAATAGAACCACAAAAAAACAACAACAAAAACATCAAAATACCTGCAGAAGAACAATCAGCCAATCAGAGAAGAGAATCTGAATTGGGTCCCAGTTTCGGTTTTTCTTTGCTCCTCCAGGTCTGCTCCAGGGCCCTCAAGCCCCGCCAACATCCAGGACATGGAGCTGAGGGAGGAGTGGCAGGATGATGGCTTCCCCAGGTCAGAGGTCATGCTAACAGAGGCTAATAAAGATAAATAGATCCTTATGGAGGATGTTAATTTGTGCTAACAGAGGCTAATAATGATAAATAGATCCTTATGGAGGATGTTAATATGTGCTAACAGAGGCTAATAAAGATAATTAGATCCTTATGGAGGATGTTAATTTGTGCTAACAGAGGCTAATAAAGATAATTAGATCCTTATGGAGGATGTTGATTTGTGCTAACAGAGGCTAATAGTAACATATGTTAAGAGGCGAATGTAGCTTAATAAAGGCTAATGCTAATATGTGCTAACAGAAGCTAATAGCTGTGAATAAATGCAAACTAAAGCTAATGTGTGTGGTGAATATCTTCTCACAGAGCAATGGCGATGTTGCTAACACCTCTTTGTTTCACATGTTTACCTGGTTTCACCTGGCTGCCATTGCTGGACTTGCTGCTTCAGACCACTTCCAGAGGACGACACAGAAAGTCCGGCAGGAGAATCAGGTGAAAACCAATTTTTGTAAGCTAAAGTTAAAGCTACGACTCTGTTGTGGCCAGTGCTATCCTCTA